TACTCAGTGAGGCAGGCAGTGCTGGTTAGGGGAGAGGGGTGGTGGTAGGGCCCTGGGAGGGGGGCCTAGGCCCCCAGCTGGATGGGTCAGGGGGCTTCCCTGGGGTTCTGGAGATGCCCCCTGAGGCCTACTATCAGGGGGAAGCCTTGGCACACATGTTCCCAGTATGTGACCTGGCACCATCTCCATGGCTACTTGTTGTATAGTCGGAAGGCTGTGTTTGACTCTTTGTGATCATGGACTGCAGCACACCAGGCTTCTCTGTCCTTCACTATCTCCCAGAGTTTGTTCAAACTTGTGTCCATTGAATTGGTGATGCCATCGAACCATCTCATCCTCTGTCGCCACCTTCTCCTCCCGCCCTCAATCTTTCCCAGCATCAGGGTCTTTTCCAACGAGTTGGCTCTTTGCATCAGGTGGCCACAGTATTGGAGCTTCGGCATCAGTCCTTCCAATAAATATTCAAGGTTGATTTCCTTTCAGATTGACTGGTTTGATAGCCTTGCTGTCCAAGGGACTCTCCAGCACCACAGTTCGAAAGCATCAATTCTTCAGCTTTCAGCCTTCTTTATGGTCCAACTCTGACCGCTGACAACTGGCTACTTGTTACTCATCCTCTACGGTGCACCAAGTCAGTGACACTGAAGATGAGATTTTGTCCCAGTTGTGCAGATGAGAAGATGGCTCAGAGAGGTTGAGTCATGGGTCCAAGGTCACACAGCAAGCAAGCAGATTTTCATTCCCTCACTGGCTCCCAGTGGCTGGAGCAGGCCTTCCCTGGGTCCCAACCCTGGCCTGCAACCCACCCCATTAGAGCTGCTGTCTCTCCTCTGACCAAGGCCTCTCAGATAAAGTGCACCCTCCTTGCCAGGTGAGCGAGCTTGGAGGAGTCAGCCTCTATGTCCCTGCTGCAGCCTGAGTCAGGCCCTGCCCATGCCCTGGGCTCAAATGTTTGTGGGCTGAAAGGGTGAGTTTACGTAGCAAGTGCTTGCTGCTACCACCTCCAGGCCAGGCCCTGGGCTGGACCCAAAGATAATTCAGTCCTACCCTAACCGCTGGTACTGGAGTTTGCCTTCAGGAAAACTGTGACTGAGTTTTTTCCAGAAAGAGTCATTGACGGGCCAGGAAAAGAGAGCTGGGAGACGTGACTGAATGTGCCTTCTACAGTGCAAGTGTGTGAGGCTCCAGGGTTGAACCCGGGTCTCAGGAGTGCATGCTTTATCCATGCTGGAGCCCTCCCCACTGGAGGCAGACACCAGGTGACTCGAGGATCATCAGGGTGAGACTGAGCCGCGGTGTCCTGGGAGAGGGCGGGAGGCCTTGAATGACACATGGGAGGGGAGATGTTTTCCGTTCACTGCCATAGAGTCCCCTCTAACTTGTGGCCACCTGGCCACCAGTCTGCAGGTGCAGTGTCCGGCTTCTGAATTGGGAGGGGACACCCCAGGGGCAGGACCCTGGGGCTGGGGGGTGGGGCAGACAGAGGTGGGTCCCTGACCCAGTTGCCCCTCCGCCTGCCCACCTCTGTTCCAGGCACCATCTCAGAGCAGAGTGACACAGACCCAGCAAGTGACAGCAAAGCCCCATCCGCCAGAGGTCACGGTGGAGGTGGGCTGGGCACCACCAGCGGTGCCAGCTGGATGTCGTCCCTGGGAAACCCCGCGCCTGGAGCCCGCACCTCTGAGATGAGCTGTCTTACTGTCTCTATTTTATTGACGGGAACACTGAGGCTCCAAGAGATGACAAGTGTTCTCAATTACCCTGCTGATCAAGGCAGGGCTGGGATTCCTGCCCAGGCTCTGTGGCTTCAGGCCGTGGCTGCGTCCTGGTTGCCCTCAGGAGGCCCCCGGCCCCGTCTGGGTGGTGACAGCTGAGCGGCCCAGCAAGCAGTCCCCCACCCCAACTGGGACCGGGTGAGGAGAGGGGCTCAGCCTGGCTGAGCTGTGATCCCGGGAGACATCGCCTGCCAGGCCAGGAAATGACCACTTGCTGCCCGGCGGCCACCTCCCAGCCGCCACCCCTCCGGGAGGTCACTCATTGGCAGTTAAAAATCTATTGTGACTTGTCAGAAAAATGAATAAATGGGCACATTATTTTTTCATTCCAGACCTCAGCATCTGTTTGTCTAATCAGGAAGGCGAGTGGGGAAGTCGGCAAGGGCTGCCGTGTGCGTTTTATGTAAGTTTTCCTCTGTCAGAGGAGTTTAAATGGGTAATGAACAGGCCGTGGTGATTTGAAATATAATCCCATTACGCTGACGAGATTACGGGCCTTCGAGACTTCACAAATCACTCTTAGGCCTTTTACAGCAAACACCACCCTGTTGGGATTCTGCATTTAAGCAGAGGTGTTTGGTGGGAACACAACATGACAGGCTTAACCCTTTCCCTCTCCTGGCTGCCTTTCCAAAGAGCAGGGGCCTCTCCATGGGGCCTCGGGGGAGCCTTCAGGATCCAGGGCATTTAGGCCGCGCCAGAAGGAGGCCCAGCAGGGCTGGGCACGGCGTGGGCGTGGGCGGGAGGTGGGGAAACCTCTCCATCACTTCCCAACTGCATGGCCTCAGGTGAGGCTTCTCTTTGCCTCAGTTTCCTCATCTATAAAATGGGGATTCGGTGGGCCTGAGGATGGACCGAGGAAACAGTGAATAAAATAGTAGCTAACCTTAGTCGAGAGCCTAATAAGAGGCAGGGGGCAGGCACTGACAATGTGTGAAATTAGCTTATGTTTGTCAGAGTGGGAGGCGTGACTGTGATCCACATGTCATTTCAGGGGAACGGGGTAGATTTTTCAATTTGAACAGTTATGTGTGTATGTATTACTTATTTATTTGGTGGTGTTGGGTCTTAGTTGAGGCACACAGGATCTTTAGTTGTAGCATGCGGGATCTAGTTTGCTGACCAGGGATTGAACCCGGGCCCCCTGCATTGGGAGCCTGGAGTCTTAGCCACTGGACCACCGGGGAAGTCCCCGTTATGTTTTTATTGTAATGTGCACCAACACGATACATGCCACACATGGAATCCGTGGATCCATGGCCATCCTTGTTTAGGATGAAGTATAAGGTAGAGAAACTTCCTTGGCTTTATTAGGGCTTCCCTGAGAGCTCAGTTGGTAAAGAATCCATCTGCAATGCAGGAGACCCATGCTCAATTCCTGGGTTGGGGAGATCCCCTGGAGAAGGGAAAGGCTACCCACTCCAGTATTCGGGCCTGGAGAATTCCATGGACTGTATACCCCATGGGGTCGCAAAGAGTCGGACACGGCTGAACAACTTCCACGTTAAGGTAGAGAAGGCTTCCTTGGTGGCTCAGGCAGTAAAGAATCCACCTGCAATGTGGGAGACCCGGGATTGATCCCTGGGTTGGGAAGATCCCTTGGAAATGGGATTGGCTACCCACTCCAGTATTCTTGCCTGGGAAATCCCAGGACAGAGGAGACTGGTGGGCTATAGTCCATGGGATCGCAGAGTCAGACACGACTGAGCAACTAACACTTTAATGTAGAAAACAGTGTTAGCCTGGATCAGTTTAAAGGGAAAATATTTCACTGTAGATAAGGTGTAACCTTAGGGGTGGGGGCCTGTGAATGGGGATGTTTGGTGGCAGACATGGTCACACCCTTCTGTCCCCTTGAAAGAGGTGTCCCCAGGTGGCTGATTCTGATCAATGAAATGTGAGCGAAGGTGGCAAGGGTTAGTTTTGAACCACAGCATCTCATTGTTACTGCCCTTCTCTAGCCCTTCTTTCCCTTGACTGGGCCTCGGTGGAAGACCAAAGATGGCTGGACCACATTATGTGTGATGAAAAATAAGCCTTTGCTGTGTTAAAGCCACGGGGGCCTTTGGGCTGTTGGTGTCACTGCAGCCCAGCCCATCTGGCCTAGTAAACTCATCCAGTCCTCACAAGGCTCCTTTGAAGAAGGCTTTATTGTCCCATTTTACAGAAGAGAAGACTGAGGCTCAAAGAAGTAAACTAGCTCATCCAAGGACACGTCAACCAGGAAATAGAATTGAAATCTGAGCACTGTCTGCCCGCCCCCAGTGTCTGTTTTCGTAGGAGGGTGCTCAGTGAGCGTTCCTGTCACAAAATCAGTTGGTGAGGAAGGACAGGAGGGCAGGGCCCCTGAGGCTGGCTCTGGAACTTGGGCAGGGTGCAGGCCTGCAGCACAGGGCCCCCAAATCCAGCTGTCTGTCCCCAGGGCAGAGGGCTGAGCCGGCTTCCGCATGGCCCCCTTCCTGACACCGAGGAAGCTGGTCTTGGCAGTTGTCGTGGCAGCTTCTTTGGACTCTGGAACTCCGGGAGGGGACAGCTCAGGCCCGGCTGGGTCCCCTCTCAGGGAGGGCACTGCTGGAGGAGAACGTGGCATCCGGGCAATTGGACTAAGTGAGATGAAAGATGCCAACATTGTGTGACCACTTATCAGGGGTTCACGTGCCATGTGCTGGGCATGTACTGTCTCACTGTCTTGCTTCCAGCACAGCAAGTGGGCATCTCAGCCCACCATACAGACGGGGCACAGAGGAGCCGGGCTTGTACCTAGAGAAGCGAGGCCACTGAGTACAGGACTGGGATTTGGGCCGGGTTTTGGGCCAGGCCGTGGAGCCTGTGACCCAACCCACACCCGGCCTGTGGTCCCCGCAAGGCTCTGGGGTGGGTGCTGCTGCTTGTGCCCAGCGAGGAGGCTCAGCTCACGGGCGCGGGTGTGGGGGCTGGCTCTGACCCCAGGTCTGCCCCTGAAGCCCTCTGACCCTGAGCCAGGAAGCCCCTGCTTTCTCCTTCCTTTCCTCTTGTTTCTCCTTCTGGAAGGAGGCGCACAGCCGTAGGAAGCACCAGAGGAGGTGGTGGGAGCTGTGCCAGGAGCTGGGACTGTCCTGCCAGGGCTGCCAGGAGGCCACGGTGGTCCCTTGGGGCACCCATGTGGGCACGGGGAGCAGGCTGGGGGCGGTGGGGCGGGCAGAGGCACCGACCCTCCTCCCTGTCCTGACCCCTCTCCTGTCTCAGGGCCCCTTCTCCGGCCCCCATGGCTGCGCCATCCTCGCTGTCGGGGAAGCTCAGACGCTGCTGACGCCAGGCCCAGTGGTGAAGCCACAGCGTCTCCTCCTGGGGACACTGGGAAGTGGGGGCTTCCTTCTCCCCTGGGAGCTGCAGCGCCTCAAGAAGCCAACCCTGTCCCACTCAGCAGGGCTGCCAGGGGCCTGACGAGATGGCCTGCCTGGCGCTGTCTGCTGCCCCCCGCATTTCAGGTCCCCAGGTCCCCATCCCCCTGTGGCTCCCACTGCCCGTCTCTCCACCAGCACCTGCCAGGCCCAGGCTGGTCCCCACGCGGCTCGCATGGTGCTCACTGCGGTGTGGTCTGGGGGGTCACCCACCATCCCTTGGCTTCACCGGGCTGTGAGCGTCACGGTGACCAGGTCGGGTCTCTGCTCCCTTCCGTCCTGAGGTCTCCCAGTCCTTCAGCTGGGGAACCGGGGACCCCAGGGAGCCGCTGGCAGGTTTGAGGGACGTGACAGCAGAGGGGACCCCCTTCCAGCTTTTAACCCTTGGAGAGAAGACTCGGAGGGCTATCAGCATGGTCTCCACCGAGCTGAGGGGCCTCCAAAGGCAGCGGGGACACTGGTCCCGGGGACCAGGGAGGAGAGGGGTCGGGAGGAGCCACTGCTCCGGGTGGGGAAGAGAGGCCCGGCACGTGGGGCAGAGGAGTTCTGGTGAGGGGACACCGAAGAGGCCAGCGAGGGCAAGTGTTACCTGAAGGGCAGCATCCTGTCTGCAGGCCGAGGACCAGAACCTGGGGCGGAACGTCCACTTGCTGCTCCAGGGAGGGGGCTGGATGGAGCGAGCTCAGCGCTCCTCAGCTCTTCTGATTCTTGTCCAGACGCAGTGGAGCTCCTGGAGGTTGTGCAGGACAGAAACCTCTGGAAGGAAGTCTGGGCTCACTGTGATTCTGAGACATTCAAGACATTCTCCAGGAGGGTCTGCAGGGGCCACCTGCTCCAGCACCCGCACTAACAGATGAGGAATCCGAGGCCCCAGGGAGGCAGCGCCCGCAGGTCTGCAGCCTGTAGCCGTGGAGGGCAGGCCTGGTGTCTCAGGGCACAGCTCCCATTCATTCACTTTTGTGTCCTGGACGGAAGGTGAGACCCTCCCAAGCCCCGAGTCCTCATCCCTGGAATGGTGGAGGTTAACAGGACCTGCCTGAGGCTGGCTGCAGTCACCTGGGCCTGTGCATACTCATGAGGGGCTGGCACACAGCCTACCTCAGATGATGGGGGCAGCTCAGGGGCCAGTGGAGGCCAGGGCTCCAGGGACCACTGCTTGGGCCTGTCAGCCACCCAGGCTCGGTAAAGGCCCTGTCCTGAGTTACCATCAGGTTAGTGAGTGTGCCGCCCTGGGGCCAGGTCAGGGGACAGGCTGGAAGGTCTGGGCAGGGCCTGTTGGGTCACTTGAGTCTACCCCGGGTGTGCCAAGCTGCTTGGTAAAGGCTGGGAGACAGGTGAGAGATGCTCATGGTCTTACTTTAAAATCCAGGTATGGGGTGTGAGAGAAGCCGAGGGAAAACTGAATTTTAACAGTCGCGGTGGACCTGGGCAATGGTTAGTGTTTCTCTTAAATTACTCCTTCAAGTGTGTGTTGTGTCAACTGCACGTGAGCTGTATTCCACGATACGAGAATGGTGTTGCTTCTGTAATGGAAGGAGGTGATGATTTCAATGTCACCCTTGAGTGAAGAGGATCATCCGGTCTTGCTCAGGATTAAAGGAGACCCACGGAGCGTTTCAGAGTCGCTCAGTACATCAACTGTCAGCAAACGTCACCAGCCAGCGCGATCCATGGTGGTCACCATTCTTTACCAACATGTGCTCAAGACTTCAAGAATTCAAAGCAATATGCAGAAGAAGGTGTTTATAATTTTATTTTAATATTGAATATGTCACAAGATTTAATGACCAAATTAGTCATTTATATTTTTCAAAGATATCTAAATATAAAATTGCTAAAAATTCAAATACAGATAGCAAGCTACAAATAATATTTCTTTTGTTTCTGGGGTGGGTAGCAATGGAAGACATTAGAAAAGGGTGCTTCTGTTGGCTGAACAAAGATCAGAATGAAGGAGGAATTCACTGGGACGGCCCTGTGCAAACGGACCCTCGACTGTCAGAGGCTGTTTCAGCCACATCGCTTCCTGTACGACAATTTAAAGAAACTTTTTTGAAATGCAGTTCCTTGCTGAAACCTCGGTCCTGCCACCCTGGCTGGGAACTGAGCGAAAGGACTTCACACTGGGAGGGACCCTGGAGAGGCTGGCAAGGACCGCCGAGGCAGCAGATTGGCCCGAGGGGTGTGTGTCAGCAGATGCCCGTTCCCTTGCCCCCACCCCCGGGAGCGGGACCCCTGGCAGCAGTTCCCCCCACCCCGAGGTCTCCAATCAAGTGAAAGCAGTGACTTTCCTGCCGCTGGGACCAGGGGGCAGGCACTGTGAAGAGGGAAGAGTCTTCAGAGTCCAGGGCAAGCCCAGGTGCGGGTCCGACTGTTGGCTCAAACTCAGCCTGGCTCCCGAGGAAACAGCAGCTCAGCATGGCCCCCGCTCCCCCGCATCCCGAGCTCGACGCGCAGTCCTGCCTTCCTGAAGTCAGAGGTGCCGGAGAAGCTGGGGAGAGAAGGCTTCCAAAGGGGAGGGTGGCACAGCCCCAGACACACATCATTACGTCCCCTCCCGAACTTCAGTAAGATGCTATCCTCAGACCAACGCACTCATTTAAACAAATGGCATAGTTAAAACTATTGACTAAACCCTAAACATTTCTTTTGAAAAATCGAGCCATAGCTTTTCCAATCTGCCTGTTCAATATGGGGAGCAGATTTTAAAGAGAATAACATAATCAATCCTGCCCCAAAGAATGGTCTGTCATACCAACCATGATAAAGAGTTTATTAAAACGAAGAAGAAGGAAAAAAAAGAAATGTACACTTTTGTTCTTCGGTTGTTTTAGGAAATTTGATCAAGCTGCAAGGACACGTCTGGGCGCGGCTATGTACATCCTCGCGTGGGCTGTCAGGCAGTGAAGATGGTGGGGCCTCTCAGGGCTCCTCGCCGTGTCGTCCGGCCCCGGGCACTGCTCGGCGAAGCCACTGTCAGTCAGGCTTCGGTCTCATGGAAATGTCCCCAGCTCTGTCCGAGGGAGTGCCCCCCCTTCCCCTGGAGCCCACCAGCCCTGTCCCCATGAGCCAGGAGCTGGCCTCCCCGAGGACGGCAGGACACAGGGTGGGCGAGAGCCACCTGGCCCCAGCAGGCGGCTCTGCGCTCCGGCAACAGATTGAAGCTGGAGGCCGCTGTCACTGTTGCCCTGATTTCTTTTCCTTCTGGAAGCTGAAGCTTGTGCGTCTGTTCAGTTTTCTTTGTTTTTGAGCGAAATAGTCAGCCCGTGCAGTGCTTGCTCGCGATTCCAGGATGTAGTTAACCTAGAAAGCAAGTGGACACAGCCCAGTCACTCGCCAGCCACCCTCTGCTCATCCAGGACGAGCGAGGGGAGAGCCCGGCCCTGGGCTGGGCACGCCCTGGGTCTGGTGCTCCCCTGAGCACAGAGTCCGGTCATCACCACGACCCTGCGGGGTGGGCTCGAAGCCCACCGCACGACGGGGAGACAGGCTTGGAGAAGACACGTGCAGGCCTGTGAGTCCCTGGTGCAGCTTTTCTGACTCCTGAGCCCGAGTTCCCTCCTTACCACGTGCTGCCTCCCAGAAGCTCCCTGGTTCTGTCCCCGCCTGCCGTGCGGCCCTGGGCTCGCACACAACTTCCCTGAACCCCGCTTAACTCGTCTGAAAGACAAGACGTCACAGGGATGAAAACCAAACCAACATAAGGCTCTGTGTTCAGCCTCCCAGCAGTTGGGGTACTTCCAAGCTCACAGTGCCCCACTAGCTATGGCTCATTTGATAAACAAGAAAGTGAGGCTCAGAGAAGGGGACCGAGCTGCCCTGGATCACCGGGAGGTCACAGCCAGAGCTGGGACAGGCACTGTCAGAACCCTGGGCAGGGGCACAGCTGGGCCTCCCAAGTGCCAACCTTACTGCTCCCCCTGAGGTCTGCTGGGCTCTTTTCAGATCCGCCCGTGCTGGGTGGTCACTGCCACCATCACCTTTGGCACTCAGTCCCTGTCTTGTCTGAACCTCGTCCCATGCTTGGCTCAAGTGGCAGAGGGAAAATTAAGACTTGGTTCCTGACCGAGGAGCTCACAGCCTAGGGAGTGACCAACAGAACAAGTGTGCCAACAGATACAGAAGGAGCAGAAAGGGATGGGGACAGTAACTAATGGGGATATGTGGGGAGGGAAGTCTTGCGAGGGGATGAAGGAGCTGGGTTTTGAGGGATAAATAGGAGTTTGGGGTGTACAAGGGATGGGGAGAACCAGCATGCATCAAGGCACAACAGTGGCACACAGCACGGCCATTCAGAAGCTGAGGGGCCAGACAAGGCGAGGTGGGGAGGAGCCAGGGAAGGGCGGCAGTACTGTGATCAGAACTGTGCCCGGTGTGAGGGTGAGCCCCTGGCTGGGCAGGGGCACAGGGCAGCAGCAGTGCTTGGAGCACTTTTCAAGGATGAACTCATTTAACCCTCACAACAGCATTAGGAGAAGAGGGCGGCACAGGATGAGGTGGCTGAATGGCATCACCAATTCAATGAACATGGACTTGGGCAAACTCCGGGAGATGGTGTGGGACAGGGAGGCCTGGCGTGCTGCAGTCCATGGGGTCACAAAGAGTTGGTCATGACTTAGCAACTAAACAACAACAACGGCCTTAGGAGGAGGCGGCTGCTATTGTTATCCCCACTGTACAGAGGAGAAAACCGAGGCACAGAATGTAATGTCATTTACTTGAGGTTATGGAGCTAGTAAGAGTTTGGGTTAGAACCTGAACCAGTTCTCCGGCTCCCTGCCTTCTCAGAGCCCCCACCCCCTCACCTCCTCAGACTCCCCTTGTCCCACTGCCCCAGAAGCCCTCTGGCTTGGCCTGTCTATGAACCAACACTGTTTCTCTCCAACCTCAAAGATCTGAAAGTTAGAAATCTGAATACTCCTGGCTAGAGAACTGAGCCACCCCTTCTGTTGATTCTACATTGAGGGCCACGTGTCCTGCCCCGAGGGGAAAGACCTCTGCTGATCGAGGAAGGACCAAGGTGCTCGGGGGAAGCAGTTTAGACAGCTTGGCTCGTGTGGGGCCAGGGCTCCATCACGGTGTCCCCTCCAAACTTTCTGCTCTGATAGTCGCCGGCAGCAGGCGTTAAGGGCTGGTGTCTGAATACAGAAGGCTTGACACGCTCAGCCCGCTGCCTCGCCAAGTTACCAGCTGAGAGCAATAAATCATAAGGCCGGCAGGGCCGGGTGATGACGTGGGACACCGCAGACAATGCATGGAAAGAAGGGGTTTTATCATTCTTAATAAGAGCAATCTTTGGATTCAATTGTTTGCACAATCAGCCAGCCTACTGTTTTCAGTGTATTTTTGGCACATGTAACTTGACAAAAGCATTTAAAAATGATCCTTAACAGGCCAAGTATTTCCTAAATTTATTATCTTCAGTGCTTTGTGATAATCACATAGATAATTTTAATGGAAGATTAATGTAATAATCAAAAGATAAAAACGCCCTTTGGTCTGCCATTAGCTGGTTAATATGCTGTGGCTTAAAACTTGCACAATTTTATGCACTATAGAGTGTTTCACTTTCAATGCATTTTACAGCTTAAGGCATAAAAATATAGGGAGTTTTCATGGTCAATAAAGTCACAGCCTCCATCACTTGATCATGAGAAGAACCCAACCTGAAGAGACCAATGATTCCTCTGAGAGTCATCTTGAAGCCTGCAGAATTAGGGACCACACATGGCTTAGCTCAACTCTATCTCGGGTGGGGTGGGGTGGGGGCGAGTCTGGGACTGCTCAGCTGGGTTCGAGCTACCTCTGTGTGCTCTGGAGCCTTGGGCCTCTATATTCTCATCTATAAAGTGGGGTAATAGTGTCCACGGGTTTCCCAGGTGGCACAGTGGTAAAGAATCCACCTGCCAATGCAGGAGACACAAGAGATGCCGGTTCGACCCCTGGGTCAGGATGGTCTCCTGGAGGAGGAAATGGCAACCCACTCTAGTATTTTTGTCTGGGAAATCCCATGGACAGAGAAGCCTGGCAGGCTAACAGTGCATGAGGTTGCAAAGAGTCGGACTTGACTGAGAGCACACACACATACACAATAATGTCTACATGGGGCAGGGCAGTTGTGAGAATGAAATGAGATCATGTACATAAAAGTTCTCGTAGACAGTTGGTGCTCAATAAATGGGTCCCACGGGGAAAAACAGAATGAGATAAAAATAATTTGATGGCAAGTTGCCTATTTGTAATGGTCTGACATCAGCGTCTCATCCTTGTTTCCTCTTTTCCATTTCAGTCTAAAGCTCTCGTTTTATGTGAAACTCCTTAATTTTAGAACTACCACATACGCTACTGGTGTCTATGACCAACCTGAGCAGAACCTCTGATGGAAGCATTTCTACTAAGTGGGACCAACAGTCACTGAGTGTTGGTGCAAAGTCCCAGGAAGACACTGGCAATGGCAGATCAGGCTAAGTATTGAAACTGCTTTAAAAATCAGAGATCGGAGAAGTAAAATTTAATCTTCCATCAGGATCGCGACCATTAGCTTCTCTAAGTAAATCAGGCTGGGACTCTCCTGGAGACTCGAGCACGATGCAATATTTCTACAAGCATTTTCATATGAAAACAGACAATTTAGGGAAGGCGCTAGGCCTCGGGGATTTTGCAGAAAAGCATCTGCTTCCAGGGAACGTTTGGTCCTGGAAAATGATTTCTCTGCACTTGTTCTTCCGCAGTCTTGCACTGAAGTCATAAACTTGTGTTTCTGTCATCAATCTGCTGTTGTGAAAATTATTTTGATGTCAAACACAGGATTATAATTTTACTAGAATCCTTCTCAAGTCTTGAATATTTTAATGCTGGCTATAAAAAAAAGGCCAGCCCTGACGGGGTAATGGGAGTATTTCTCTACCTGGCCCCTGAGTGTGGCACGCGCTCCCTGGGTGGCCTGGGGATGCCCAGGCAGGTAACTCTTAGATCGCTGGTTTCAAGCACTCCAGGCGGGCACTGCCCACTGGCTGTTCTGACGGGCTCCGACCCGGGGTCGTCTAGAAACCCTCTGCTTTCCATCCAACTGGTCACCCTACTCTGTCTCGGCTCTCAATTCTCCTCCTGGCAGCTTTATCCTTTTAATTCTCATCTACCACTTTTGAAAATCTTTTGTGGACTCAAAATGTTTCTGTGAAACAATTTCATTTCACCGAAATCTCCTGTTCAATTCCTGAATGCCACGCGCACCTGGTGCCTTAGGAGCACAGGTTCTAGAATCCCCCAAACCTGGGGTCAGGTTGTAGTTCTGCCAAGTCCCACTCCTGGCTGAGTTAGTTCTCCCTTGAGCCTCAGTTTTCATCTAGGAAATGGGAATGATTTTATATCACTACCTACAGAGGTGTTAAGGCTCCTTGAGATGGGACAGGTCAAGTGCCTGGCTCAGATCCTGCACTTTGCGACCCTTCAGTATATCTTAGTACTATTACTACTATTACTAATACTTGATGACATTTACTCTTAAGAGGAAAACGAATGATCACTTAGGTAGGTAGGTTCACTGCATCTCATTTAATATTGTCTCTAGCAGCGCTTTGGTGGGGTGAGGCAGAGTAGCTACCATGATCCCCATTTTACAGGAGGAGAAACAGAGGTCCAGAGAGGTGATGTGACTGGCCAGAGTCACACACTGGAGGGGTGGGAGCCCCTTAGCACAGAGCAGCTGACTTATGACCCAAGCCTGGGTGAGCACCAGCTGGGCAACCTGCAGGCAGCGGAGCGTCTCTGTAGAACTGGCCCGGGAGCCTCACCAGTGCTGCGGGGTGGGAGTGGGAGGCGGGGTGCGGGCAGCCCTGCACACCCCAGGCCTGGGCTGAGCAGGAACACTCACCTTGAGCACGATTTCATTGACGGTAGCAGCGTCAGATTCAAAGTAGAGGTGTTTATAGTCGTGATTGCTTAGATATGTGAGCTTAAATATCGCGTGACCTGGAGGGAGAGAGAAAAGGCAGGGTGAGGGGCTCTGGTAGATCACCTCGGGGGAGGCCCCCAGAGTCTCCTTTTATCATCCAGTTCCCGGGACAGCAGGTGGAGGCTGCCAGGCAGCCACTCTTCCTGGAGCGGTTCACCTCATCATCACAGGCCGGGAGGGAGCGTCAGGTCCCACTCCACAGTGGAGAGGGTGGGTGCAAGGCTCTACGGAACTACTCCCACACGATAATTACATGGAGATGGTGGTATTTTTTAAGGTAGAAGGCCAATTAGCTCCAAATTATTACTCTAAAAATAAAATAACTGTGCTTAAAGTCAAATAAATGAGCAACAGGAAGGGGAAAGGCCGATAGTAACGCAATTAGGAGGGTCTCCAGGGCCAGCTCCTGTGGGAGGGGAGTCCGGGTCGTGTGACCCCTCCCGTGTGGAGGCTGCTCCCAAGGCCACTGGTCATTTCCTGGGAGGATGGGTGTGCTGGGGGCAGAGGAGGGCAGAGAGAGGCTGCTCTGAAAGCTGCCACCTTACACAGCAGACTGACCTCAGCAGGCTGGATCCTCCGAGCACTCGAATCCCCCAGAGATCTGAGTCCTTTTGCACCCCTTTCCTACCACCTTCAGGGCAACCCTGTCAATTCTGGGACTGCTTCCTGGTCTGGCTTCATCGCACTTTACCCCCTCAGGTGCCACAGACCAGCCCGGGGGCTCTGCACACACCCACCTGTCCACACCTGGGATGTCCCCGCTTAACTTGTCTCTAAAAGACGTGCCCATGCTGGCCCTCCAGCTCAGCTGGCACCTCCACGGGATACATTCCTAGGCATCTTCTCACATAGTGCTCGGCCGTCAGAGAAACCCGCGTATGTGTCGCGCCACCTGCAGCCGTGTCCACACCCCCTGTGGCTGTCCTTGGGGCTAGACGTGCCAATCAGATTCCCTCCTGCAGGCGCCTGCCCGCGTCAGCCCCGCGTGACGCTCTCCCTGGCCATCAGGGCATGCTGTCCTTGGGTTCTGGGAGACCCCTGTGGCCATCCCAGAAAGCCCTCTTTCTCCTTGAGCTGTTCTGAAGTGGGTTTCCACTTCTGGTAACCAAGGGAGCACTGCTCCAGAGATATGCAGTCAGAGCTCAGCAAACGTTCCCAGACCAAGGGGCAGCTGGTGACATCTCGCTAACCAACCTCAGACACAATGCTCCCCCCGTCTGCTCTGCAGACTTTGATGCTCCTGAGACTAAAATTCAGCATATCCTTTCTATTAGGCATTCTCATCCGTTGTCCTTTTAATTGAAGCAGTGGCTGGTCATAGTTATTAATTAATAATATATCACCCGTATTACTGTAAGTTCACCTCTTTCCCGGAGAAACCTTCTTGGAAACTTTATTTACAGTAGCTAATTCTTCAGATCTCCCCAAATAAACTGATATATGCTGAATGTCTGGGGCCAGAAAAGTGAAAGTGCCGGTATTTTATCCTGGAAACATCATGGTGATATACTCATTGTGACTACAAATTCAATATTGAAAAAACTAGCTAATAATTTCTGAAAAACCTCGCTTTCGGTCACTTGACAAATTTAGCCTGGTTCTCAATCGTGGTACTGAAATATTAGAATTCTTAGCTGAAAGTTCATCATTTTGTGAATGTATAAATTACCTGTTTCTGAGAAGTGGATCTCACGTTAAGAGGGTGTATCTGTATGTCAGGGCGTGCGTGTGTGTATTCCTTGATCTCATAGGATTCAGCTTGGAACCATCTGAGTCTCGGTGATGATACTGCCATGTGTTAGAACAATGCGGATCTCTCTGATGGCCATGCTGTGACCGAGCAGAGATGGCTGTGAAGGTCACAGGGCTGTGAAGGACGAACAGAGACGCCCCCTCCAGGAGGCCTTACTGCTGACACCTGGCCACGACAGACACAGACTCCAGTGCCTGGGGCTGCAAAGGACCAGAAGGTCTTAGGGAGACCCGTGGACCCGAAGCTTCGGGGTTCACTGACCACTCTGATAAGTGATCTCACGGACTGTCTATCCCACCTGCTCCCACTCGTCACTGACAAAACCAACACCTCAGTCACTAGAGCGTTTTTTTGCCTGAACAACTGAGACACCATTAAAAAGCTGTCCAGCGGGCGCTTTTCAGGACAAGCCAGACCTACAGATGGCATATATGACACGCAGTCTGCAGGGGCCTGGGGCCTCTGATGGACGCCTCCACACTGTCCCCTGGGATCATACAGGCTCACGGAAAGAGGCCTGTGGTCCACCTACACACCAGCCACAGGACAAAACCAAACTATCGCTCCACGGCACGTCTCTGGGATGGGAGCATATTTGGGTCAGGAGACTACAAACATACCCCCGTGTGTGTCATGCTGAGCTTGGAGGCAGTGAGCGTCCCTTGTCTGTCCCCAGAGCTCTTTCTAGACCCCCAAGGAAGAGGGAAGCAAGTGGGAGTGATGAAGAGTGCACCCCACGTTGCTGAAGCCTCGGACTTGTCTGTCCTTTCTGGGAAAACATTCACATCACTGAGGGAGGAGGATACAGAGAACGCTATCTGGGGAGCCTGCATCAGAATTCAACAAATCGGCCCTCAAGCGACTCTTACAGAGGCAACAACTGGGTTAGAGTGTGGGGGGACATCCCCGCAGACAGCCCCTTCCTGCTCAGTGGGAGGACTGGGGGGGTGGCGAGCTTGAGTTAATCTGGAGTCACGCCCTCCCCCCTGCTGGAGCCCTGGGGCGTGCGGCCGAGGCGCTCCAGGAGAGTTTTCGTTCTGCGGCCCCTCTCCTTGCTCCAGGGATCCCTGAGTTGCTGGGTGGCCAGAAGGGCAGGCTGACTCACTCACGTCCTGCCAGGAGCGCCCGGGCCAGAGGGATGAACACCAGGAACACCAAGAGACTAGGACGATGAGCAGGACGAGGAAGGGGGTCACAGGGAGACGGCGGGAGACGGCAGGAGGCCCCAGGGGAGTGGGCTGGCCTGGAGGCAGAAGGGCCATCAGAGGCAGTTTCCTACAGAAACTGACGCCTGTCTGAGCCATTCTAGAGGAGGAAGGGGGGTCAGCTGGGTAAAGGCGGAGTGGAGAAGGATGTAACAGGCTAAGGACAGAGCAACCTGCAGGAGAAAAGGCAGCAGGCCTTCCAGATGGCGCTCTGAGCAGTGGACAGGCAGGATGTGATGGGACACAGGGCAGACACAGGCAATGCCCGCGTTCCCAGCTGAGGGAGCCACTAGTGGGCTCTAAGTTGGACAGTAAATGGTCAAATTGTGCTTTGGGGCATTCGCCCTGGCTCTCCAGGGCCTAGAGGCTGGGGGACCAACTGCCACAGTCCTGTAGGTAGGAGCATACTCACGCGGTTTTGAGCTAGACGGGGGCAAAAAGGATGCTGAGAAAGGGATCGCCTTGAGAACTGTAGAGAAGGAACTGTGGCAGGACTTGGAAATGCTTTTACAATAGAATAGTTAATCATTCAGAATCCACACTTGTATAATTTCACCCAATCCGAAGCCCATAGATTCAAGTTAATTGACCTAGTTCTGGAAATGAATCTATCAATAACCATGAGTAGTTTATGCTACGTGGTAAATTTCCACCAGAGGTGTCTGGGTAGATGGAATCACTGGCATTTCTACACCAACTGAACAGAACAGAAACACAGTGAGAGAAGTCTGTTATCAAACGCTCCTCAGCCTCGGGCGGCTTGAGGCTCACCTCAGGTAAAGGGGGCAGAGCGGTCAAGTGCCCTCCTCGGCTGCAGCCTTCCATGGCGTCTGTCCTGGGACGTGAGAGGGAACGAGAGGTGGGCAGGTTCCTCTTGCAAACTCGAGGAAAATGAGCAGCTTTCACAGGGAAGGAGTGAGCCAAAGGGGCCAACTACAAACACCAGCTGAGGGAGAATGACGATGCTACATGGTGATTTCCTTTACTGTGGTTTGCAGATACTGCATTTTTTTTTTTTTTAACAAATTGAAGGTTTGTGGCAACTGAGTACTGTCAGATGATGGTGAGCATTTTTTAACAATAAAGTATTTTAAAATTAAGGTATGTAAATTATTTTCTTAGACATAATGTTACTATTGCACACTTAACAGACTATATATTGTATAGATATGACTTTTATATGCATTGGGAACCCCCCCAAAATGTGCGTGACCTGCTTTACTGTGGTTGGCCTGCAACCCAACCTGCAGTGTCTCTGAGGCATGCCTGCGTATCAGTAACGATGTAAAAGAGAACACCAAGTCTGATATTCCAATTAGTCCAAATGATTTTGCTTGGGTTGTTAAACTGTTTGGAAATTAAAGCATGACAAAAGTCTGGGGTGCAGAGGGGGAAATGTGAGCGCTGTCAGAGACTTGGGAAGAAACGCAGGTGTGCTGAGTTCCAGGGCTGAGACTGTGGGAGTCACCGCCCCCCAGGAGCCCAGGTCTGCCTGGGAGGAGACCGCACCCATGACATCTCAGGTGGTGCTCAGATGCACTGGGGGCTCAAGGGGGATGGCGGCCGTCATTGTCACACCTGTGATGGAACTGGTATTTGAAGCTAAACTCCTCATTGTTTTGAAGATCTGGTTTTTAATTGGGCCTTCTTTGAGCAGACTTGCAGGAATACAAATGCAATGTAATGGAATATAAAATGAAGTATCCAAGCCCTGGTCACATATCCAGATTTGCTCAGGGCACTGAAACTATACCTCTGCTTCTGAATATTGAAAGTCTGGGTATGTGAAAATGTATTTACATTTACGTATTTTTTTTTTTTCCCAAAGGAAAACAGAGAAGATGGAACCTAACACTGAACAGAAACTAATTAGCAGCACAGATGTCAGAAACGGAGATGTTTGAGCTTTTGTGCTGTAATTTATCATCAGCATTATGAGTTTTAACTTAAACAAGAGGCTGTGTTGAAAAACAGGTTCTTCTGGTCAATGGGGGGGAGTGGCCATTCAGAAAAAGCTGCTGTTGTCACAAGATGGGACAGCTGAAGCAGAGGGCCTGTA